GAGCTGCTGCGGTTGCTCTTCACCGAAGCCCTTTACGATGAACATCTCAGCAGGGTGAGTTGAGCTGCCTCCCGACTAGCCCAGGAGCATGGCGGGACCCTCTGCTTGGTGCATGTCTGCCCCGAAGGCCAGGGCTTCCCCTGGGGCTCTACCCCTTGCTTGCTTCCCCCAAAGCTCCCTGTGGGATCTGAGGCACTTGCAGAGTGGGGTGCTTCCGCAGGCTGGCCTGGGCTCAGCTGCTTTCTCATCTCCCTTCTGCAGTGGTTCACTCCAGAAGGCTTTCGATCCCTCTTTGCCCTCGTTGGGACCAATGGCCAAGGCATAGGAACAAGGTAATGGGGCTTTCTGGGTGCTCCTTGCAGGGCAGCGGAGATGTGGCATGGAGGGGACGTACAGTCCATAAATCCACGCTGGCCTGGGTAATGGCTGGGTTCAGACCTAAGAGAGAGGGATGGCGAAGCAAACTTAAAAGCAGTCCTTCATCTGGGCTGTGTCCAACCCTTTCGCATCCCTCTGCCAGACCTTGGCCACTCAGAGCCACTGAGTTTAACCCTTAGATCCCCCCTGCGAGGTCCCACCGTGTGCCAACAGCGCTGTGGGACTGTAACGGTGTCCCTCCGCTTCCCAACAGCTCTCTGAGCCAGTGGGTGCATGCTTGCGATGCGCTGGATCTCCCCATGCTGCAGCGAGAGGAGCTGGACGCCTTCATCGACCAGCTCTACAAGGACATTGAGAAAGGTGAGGCTCTGAAGTGACCGTGGACAGCGTCAAGTGGTGCCATTTGCAGGAACCTGGTGGAGTTTCTGCTACTGGAGACTCTTCCCAGGATTCGGGGACTAGGAGGGATTCTGGGACTAGGAGGGATTCCTGCGGGGGACTGGGAGATCCCCCCGCCTGGTCCAGGCGAGCCACGCTTGCTACGTGGATAGGGCAAGTCCAAGTTTGTGGGCAGCGCGACCTGCGGCAGGGTGGGGTGGCTGGAGGGCTGATCTGGAGGGATCCTGTGCAGAAAAGTTTCATCTACACAAGAGCCGGAACGGCCCATGCAAAGCTCTAACCCCCTCTCTGTGCCGCAGAGTCAGGAGAGTTCCTCAACTGCGAGGGATCAGGTCTCTACATGCTCCAGAGCTGCTGTAAGTAACACCAAAGACTGGGAGGAAAACTGGTAGTGAGGAGGGAGACGTCCTGGGCTAGACGGGCTCATCTCTTCCTAAAAGCTTCTGGAGAAAGGGGTTTGTGCTTCCCGTCCGTGGGGTGGGATGGGATGGGTGCTGCCCTGGGGTCTGGCTGCTCTCTCAGGGTCTCCAGGCTTCCTGCCTTGCTACGAAATGGTCAGTCCTGGCTCGAATGGATGCGAACGCGATGTAGTCTCTGGGAGCCACGTATGCAGTTAGCAAAGGGACATCTCCAACCTTCTCTGAGCAAAACGGAGCTGAACAAACCGTTGAGGGAGGGAGCCTTTCTTGGCTGCCCCGTGGGGACGTAGGAGAGGATGCCCCGGCACCCGGAGCTCTCTTCTTTCACTCCTAAGTGTTAACGGCAGAGTGGGGATGAGCAGAGCCTGGGGACTGGCTGCTGGGAGAGCTGTGAAGCAGGGAAAAAGTGCTGCCCTGTGTGTCCTTCCCCAGCCCGTGGAGGCAGAGGTGGTGCTGTGCATCCTGGCGTTGATCCAGAACAGCTCTCTGGGTGGGTTTTGTGGGTGTATGGGAGAGCCCTGACCCTGCACCCCGCTCCGCTGGACCCCGTAGTCCCCAGTGTGAGCGGAGAGTGTCACGCTGGTGTCCCCCAGGTAGATGGGGTGGCTGCAGCATTGTGCTGCATTATCCTTAGCCAGGCCATGGCCCTCCCAGTGCCCGGGCCACACAGAAGGGCAGGCACGAGCCCCGCGGACTGTGTGGGGTCTCCGACCCTGCCTCTGCCTTCCCCTTCCTCTGGAGACACCCTCACGGCTGCGTCCCGTCTTCCCCCTAGGTAACCACAGCTGCATCCCCAATGCCGAGACATCCTTCCCAGAAAACAACTTCCTCCTGCATCTGACGGCTCTGGAGGACATCGAAGCTGGAGAGGTGAGACAGCGGGGCCGGGGTGAGCCTGGGCTGGCATCGCACCTTGGCAGAGGCTCCCTGTGTCCCCTACGTCCCCCGCAGACCCCAGCCTCATACCTCCTGTCTCTGGCGTTGTCCTGGCTGAGGAATTCACCCCTCATCCCCACGCAGGGGCTGCCAGACCCCGTGTTTCTGCCTGCCTCTGAGAGGGACTGGTATAAATCGTGCTGCTTTGGGTTCGTGGGAAGCGGCTCTCAGCCTGGCTTGTTTCTCTTTGCTCACAGGAAATCTGCATCAGTTACTTAGACTGCTGTCAGAGGGAGCGGAGCAGACACAGCCGCAACAAGATACTCAGGTAGGGGCTGCTGGGAGGGAGCCGGGGGGGACGGGGCACCCCTTTGCACCCCCAGCCAGTCCGTCAGGGCTGCATCCCCACCTCGGGGCCCCGCGCGTGCCCTGGTGGGGCTGTGCACGGGCTGGTGTGTAGGCCGGCATGCTCACGGCAGGGTGTGCGTGCAGCACGTGGTGCTTTTGTGCTTTGAGCTCCTTGCAGCCCCTTCTTAGGTGTTGTAGCCTCGGGGACCGAGGATTTGGGCTCCCCCTCTCTCTGCGGGCTTGCACCGCTCGGCAGCTCGCTCCCGCACACCCTTGCTGTCCCCAGCCGCCTTCCTTTTCCTTCTCCGCCCTTCAGGGGTAGGGGTTCCTGCGCCGTCCCCGTGTCCCGTCACCCCTGCAGGGCTGAGAAATCCCCCTCTCCACCCAGGCTGCCTCCACCCCACCTGAGCCCAGCACCATCGAGCCCGCAAACTCCTCCGGGTTTAACGTATTTACCCCCTTCCTGGCTGCTCCGTCCCCGACCCCCTGCCTCGCAGCGGCGTCGGGGTTCTCTCCACGCCATCACTCCTTCTCCTTCTTCCTTCCCTTCTTCCAGGGAGAACTACTTGTTTACCTGCTCGTGTCCCAAGTGCCTAGTGCAAGCTGACGATGCCGACGTGACGTCGGACGAAGAAGAGGAGGGTGAAGGGGAGACGGATGATGCTGAGCTGGAGGATGAGATGACCGACGTTTGATCCTGGCCCCGGGCGAGAGGAGCGGGAAGGGACGGGGGGATCCTCCGAGAGGCAGCAGCTTTAATACTAGAAACAGGGTTGTGTTTTGGGGTCGGGTGGGAGGCCACGTGCCGGTGAGGGGCGCGGAGGTCTGGCAGAGCGGGGCAGCGGGGGAGCCGGAGGCAGGCCCTGCTCCCGCCTGTCCTCGTTGTGCGCTGTGCGTGTGTGTGCGTGCGTCGGGCCGTCCCCGTCCCCCCTGCGAGGACAGGCTGTGAGCCGCTGGCCCCCTGTCGCGCCCCGGTCCCCGGAGGGGCTGGCTGGTGCTTGCGGGGGAGGCTGGAGGAGAGCAGGGTCCGGCCAGCCCCGGGGACATCGCGATGGTCACCTTGTGGCCACCCGCGAGGCTGCTCCACCGTGTCTGTGCCGGCCGTGGGTGCGGAGGAGCACGTCCTTTCCTACCCCGCAGGGACGAGGGGAACATGTGTGCGTGTGTCCGTGTGTCTGTGCACCAGGGGTACTATTTAATGTCTGTATTAGCACTATCTACACACCGAGGAGCTGGGGTCCTTATATATACTCCATTCCACGCCTGGGCTTGGCGAGCAGCAAGGGGCAAAACGGTTTTGCAGGTGGGCCAGAGGCACCTTACGGGTGGCTCGGATGCGCGAGTCTGGCGGGGAGCGCGGGGCCGACCCTGCCAGGCGCCTCCCTCCCGCCTCAGCCCCGTCCTTTACAATCCTAGAATACCAGGTTGGAAGGGGCCTCAAGGATCATCCAGTCCATCCCTTTTTCCCTTTACACGATGCAAAACCCCATGCAGCAATGGCCGGGGCTGTTCGGGGAGCGGGGAACGGCCAGGCTGCGGCTAGCCCGGAGCCGCCATCGGCTACGGTGTTGCGTAAGCAAAGTCACTGTCCAAAACCCAGAAAACGTTTTGGGTTTTGCAGAGAGCAAGCTGTCCCTCTGGGCGCTCTGTCTGCGCGCTGCTTCTGGAGCAGGATGTGCCCTGAGCGGGAGCCGCCGTGCCCGGGATGCCTGGAGACATCGCCGGCACCGGGGCGTTGTCATCCATCCCATGCTGCCAGCCGCACCGCTGCGTGCGGCGTCCCTCTCTGCCGACCACGCGGCCGGAGGGAGAAAACGGCTCCGAACAAGGGACGGGCAGCAGGTTGGGGATGCGCCCCGGGGTATTTTCCTCCCCTCTCGGATTTTGGGGAGCTGTTTTCCTGCCGCCGCTTCCTTCGAGCCCGCGGCAGCTGGATTGCGGGACCGAGGGCGACGCTGTAGATGGGCACCTCTGGCACTGCCATCACCGCCAGCCCTGCACCTCGCTGCTCGTCCCCAGCCATCCCGGGGCCGTGTCCCCTTCAGTGTTCGTAATAAACCGCGACTGGTGAGAAGCGGGACCGTGTTGTTTGTACCGGGAAACCGGAGGGTGGGGAGTGCGGAGATGAGTGCTGCGATCCAGGGGCTGGTCCCAGTGGGGACGCGGAGGTCTGGGGGTGAGGGAGTAGCCACCCGCCGAGGTCTGGGCTCTGCTCTGCCACCCGCCCGCCCTCGGGGACGGGTGCCGGAGGCAGCGCTGTCCTGTGGGGCTGTTTTTGTGCACGACCCCGCCGTGCCGCATCGGGGTCTGACGGGAGCCCTGCCCCGGCTGCAGGAGGCACCTTGGGAAGTCTCCTAGGAAAGACATCATTAGGGGATGAGATTTGTTCCTTCATCCCCTGAAAAAAAAGAGAAACTTCCCTTTCTCTAAAACTTGTTCAGACTTCATTAGCTCAGACAAAAATAAACAGATGCTGGGCGAGTCCTGCTAGCGCAGACCATGCCTGTACCTCACTCTCCCGTCCCTTTCCGACCGCATCCGCGTAACCCTGCATCCCTCTCTGCTGGCATCTTGTGCCCCGTTAAGATGTTCCTCGGGGAAGTGCTGGCCTGCTCTGGGCCACCGCCTCCCTCCCAGAAAGTCACTACGACGGGTGCTCGGCGCCAGGCTCGAGGTTCCCACTGCGGGTGCTGGTGTTTGCTCTTCAGCCGCGCGCCGGCGGCAGCAGAAAGATCTCCTCGTTGCTGAATCCGGCGAGGCTGGGCGGTGGGATCTCTGGAGCGCGTCGGGACCCCTTTCCTCATACCTGGTCCCTGGGGCAAGCTCCTGGGATCCACCGAGAAGCCCTCGATCCGCCGCAGCCTCCTGCTGCTACCAGAAGGTCCAGGGGGGCTGCATCATTTCGTAGGTGGGGATGCTGGTGACGTTGACGGGAATGGAGATGACGGCCCAGGGGAGCCCGTGCTGCTCCAGGGAGCGTCTGATCATGTACCTGGAAGGATAAAGAGGCGACGGGCGCGCCTGAGCCACCGGAGTTGGGAGAACGGAGCCCAGATGCGAGCATAAACCGCAAACTGGCTCAAAGAGAAACTCTGCGGGTTATTTATAGAACCACAGAATCGTTAAGGTTGGAAAAGACCCTTAAGATCATTGAGTCCAACCGTTAACCCAGCACTGCCAAGGCCACCACTAACCCATGTCCCC